AATGCCACGGCACTCTACCCAGGGGGACAGCTTGAGGCTCTGTCTCAAAAAAAAAAAATAAAAAAAAAAAATAAATGAAGGAATAGCCTAACATCTCTGGCTAAACTTTCTTTTAGCAGTGCCAGACATGAAGATCAAACTTCAAAATAAAGATCTCCTTCAGCATTTAAATAGAAACAAAATTTATTAAAATACCACACTACTTAAAATCAATAGATAGCATTTATAATTCTTAGGGGTTGTTTTGAAATAAAAGTATACAACTTGTTTGCTGTATGGCAGTGGTTCTCAACCTTCCTAATGCCGCAATGTTTTTTCATTGTTAAAAGGGGGTCACAACCCACAGGTTGAGAACCGCTGCTGTATAGAAAGAGCTGATTGACCCAGCAAATGCAAGCAGTGTAACCTGGCTCATTGTACCCTCAATGATTCCCTAACAATAAGAGAAAAAGAAAAGAGTTGATTGATATTTCTAAAATCATTGATAATTAACTTTGGTCATACTATACACACCTAGCTCAGAATCCACTAAACACCATTTATTCACCTTCTTTTGATTCTTTTTTCTGAACATTCCTTTAATTTTATTCATATTGAAAGATATTTGTCAGGCATTGAATAATACCTGGCACATAGTAGGTACTTGGTAAAAATTCACAGAGTAAATTAATGTATATGTTGTAAATGACATATGTGGATGATGCTGGACCAAAATAAAGTTTTATTTTATTTTGTAAGTATAAAAGAATGAAAAGGGATTTGTTAATTTTAAAGATGAGACTTTGATTTTTACCATATTACTGTCAAGCTCAATTGTACGCTTAGGTGGTTTTGTTTGTTTTTTGTCTTTTGGGGTTTTTTTGTTTTGTTTTGTTTTGTTTTGAGACAGAGTCTCAAGTTGTCACCCTAGGTAGAGTGCCGTGGCATCACAGCTCACAGAAACCTCAAACTCTTGGGCTTAAGCAGTTCTCTTGCCTCAGCCTCTCAAGTAACTGGGACTACAGGTGCCTGCCACAATGCCCAGCTATTTTTTTTTGGTTGCAGTTGTCATTGTTATTTTAGCTGGCCCGGGCCAGGTTCAAACCCACCAGCCCTGGTGTATGTGGCTGGCATCCTACCCACTGAGTTATGGGTGCTGGCTATGCTTAGTTTTTTAATTAACTATATAATTTTAAAGAGCTGAGATTTTTTTTTCAACTTAGGTGAGTCTCAAATCTAAATAGAAAATTGGTCAATTTCTGTGTATGGGAGTGAGAATATTTATAATTCTAGGCTTGGCACCCATAGCTCAGTGGTTAGGGTGCCAGCCACATATACTGGGGCTGGTGGGTTCAAACCTGGCCCCGGCCTGCTAAACAACAATGACGACAACAGCAACAAAAAAATAGCTGGGCATTTGGGGAGCACCTGTAGTTCCAGCTACTTGGGAGGCTGAGGCAGGAGAATCTCTTGGGCCCAAGAGTTTGAAGTTGCTGTGAGCTCTGATGCCATGGCACTCTGCCGAGGGCAACATAGTAGGAGTCTATCTCAAAAAAAAAATTATAATTCTATAACAGTGCTTTTTGTGACTACTATTTTATTAAAATGTTTATTTAGTTATTTGGCTTGGTGCCTGTAGCTCAGTGGCTAGGGTACTGGCCACATAACACCAGGGCTGGTTGGTTCAAACCCGGCCCAGGCCTGTCATACAACAAGGACAACTGCAACCAAAAAATAGCCAGGCATTGTGGCAGACACCTATAGTCTCAGCTACTTGGGAGGCTGAGGCAAGAGAATTGCTCAAGAGTTTGAGGTTTCTGTGAGCTGTGATCCCACTGCACTCTACCAAGGGTGACATAGTGAGACTCTGTCTCAAAAAAAAA